CGTGAATATATTTTGACCTAGCAATTCCACTCCTTTTTACCTTAGAGAAATTCTCATGCATGTGCACAGGGAGACCTGTATGAGGATATTCATAAAGCATTGTTTGTAAAAGGAACAAGTAGGAAACAAATTGAATTACCGTCAGGGGATCGGGTAAACACACATCCTTTCCAAAGTGTATTTCAGACTGTGACCCATTGACAGCTCATGAAATTCAATTTAGTAAGTTGCAGCCAGAATTAAAAAAACAGAACAGTACAGAATGGAAAGCACTTCAAGAATCAAGGCTAATATATTTCCGTCTATGGGTCATGGTCAGTAAAGTTTGAAAAACACTGCTGTTCAATGCTTTGTGGGAGTTAAAGCATGAAGGTAGATCTGTTTGTACGGTCATGAAAACATCTTCAGGACACATAAAGAAAAGATGCTGCAGAATAAGACACACAGTTTGATTGTATTCGTTTTGCTTTTAAGCCACACACAAAAAACGATGTCCCTATGTTTGCAAGTGCATAGAAAAAGGCCTGGAAGGAAGCTTGTCTTGCTGACAACAGTGGTTACCTGTTAGGACGGGGCTATGATGGGGAGTCGTTACCTCTGAGGAGGGGGCTACTAAGAGGAATAGTCCAGAGCTTTAGGCTGGTCGGTATTTTTTTTTCCTTCCACTCCCTTCATCCATATGCCCCTTCCTCCTACCCCTTCTCCTCTGACAGCTACCGGATTGTTCTCTGTGTTTATGGGTCCGTTTCTGCTTTTTTGTTTGTTTTGTTTTTTAGCTTCTATATATAAGCGAAACGGTATGGTATCCGTCTTACTTTGACTTATTTCACAGAGCGTGATACCCTCTAGGTCCATCCCTGTTCTTACGGTGTCAAGATCTCATTCTTTTATACAGCTGAGAATAGTCCATTGTATGTATAGACCTTATCTTCCTTATCCATCTCTCAAGGGGAACTTGGGCTGCTGCCATATCTTTGGCTATTGTAAATAATTCTGCGATAAACATAGGGGTGCATCTTCTCAAGTTAGTGTTTTCGTTTTCTTTGGGTAAATGTCCAGTAGTGGGATTACTGGGTCATGTTGTAATTCTAATTTTAATTTAAAAAGTTTTTTAAAATGTTTATTTATTAAGAAAAAAAATTTTTTTTTTTTAAATTTTTTTTTTTTTCAACGTTTATTTATTTTTGGGACAGAGAGA